GGGGTAAGGACTAAAAATTTTCATTTTAATTAAAAAAGCCATGGTGATTCTGAAATAAAGGTTATTAAACACTGACTTAATGTCATCCTCAAGGAAAAAAATCTACTTGGTGCCCATAAATGCTTTTGAATATTGAAAAAAAATCACCTGATACCTCAAGGTTCCTTTCTAATAGTAAAGGTGCTAAGGCTTCAAGCCGAGATTTCCATTACAGACCTAAGGAGACAAGAGTACTCCTGTGCTGTTAATTAACAACCAAGACCTATGATCTCCCCACCAATGAAAGGCTCTTCAGTAGCTCTGACTTGATCTCCCAGCACTAATAACTTAATTGAAAACATAAAAGACCATGCTAATGGAACATTAGGAAAAAGTCTTACTCAAGCACTGCTCACTAAGTAGAGCTTTTACATTGCTTGATGTTCCCTAATCTTTGTTTTTTTTTTTTTTTTAATAATTTTTTTATTGTTAACCACCATACATTACATCATTAGTTTTTGATGCAGTGTTCCATGATTCATTGTTTGTGCATAACACCCAGTGCTCCACACAGAATGTGCCCTCTTTAATACCCATCACCAGGCTAACCCATCCCCCGATTGATGTTCCCTAATCTTAACTATAGTTCTCATTTCCGAAATCCACCCGGTTTATGTGGCTATTGACAGATGTTTGTGGTATCCAAACTGTCCTTTAACTCAGATCTTTACAAATGTTCTAAGAGTCTCTGATGAAGATGAGATTGTATGCAGGGAGAACACTCACCAAATTTGTATTTTATATTAATTACTACATATTAAAACCAGAGTTTGGCAGAAGCCAAATAACATAATAGGTTCTACATTCCATAGGAGGCACTAGACCATATACATAATTCAAAAAGGAGGTTGCTGGAAACTATTCACATGTGGTTTAACCACAAGTTCACTAGAAGGATTTAAGCAGATTAAGATTTACATATTTGAAGAGAATTTGGAGGGAGATTTCTCTGGGAAGAGCTGTGCTACAAGACCCATCCATCACTTGGCAACGGTATTGAGAATCTAATGGGTGAAGACTACTGGGACAGCTTTACAGGTGTCACACCCAGTTTAGAGACACAATGGGCAAGCATCTGCCTCACACTTAAGAATCTAAAGGGTGACAGAGAAGGCAGCTTGCTGTTTTGACAATCGACTAAAAGAGTTGGCACTGGCTTATACATCCAGATTCAGGGCAAAGAATGCATGCTCACTTTCCATGGACCAGATGTGTGGGACATACACAAGAGACCTAGCATGGGGTCATCTCAAGTCCCACCCAAAAGAATCACAAAGTAGTTGACAGTGACAGAAAATTTGAAGGTATCAAGAAATTTTAAAGGGCTGAGAAAGCAGTGAACAACTATCCAAAATAGAGGTGCACTTGGCACAACTTAGGTAAGATTTCCTGAATGAACATAATTGGGCTAGGGAACGATTTCTGAAGTAAAGGGAAGGAATCCATTTCAATTTTCTAATAGTCCCAGAGAGCATGGTACCAGCTAATAATAGTACGAGTTAGTTAAGAACTCTTCCCCCTTCATTCTTCTCCTCCCTTCCTATACCCTGACTACAAAGTGGACACAAATACAGTTAGCTAGATCAGGGGAAGGAGATGGAGATGAAAAATGGAAGTGCCAGAGAGCCAACCAGCCACATCTTTTCCTAATTGTAGGATTCCAGCCCGCAGCTGGCTCAAGTTAGGAATAGGTAGAAATCTCAAATTTAAGTTCAGAATTTTGGTTAGTACATGGGAATAGACATTTTAATTATTAACTAGGCACTGTGAACTTAAGGCAACCACAAGTTGAAGAACCACAGACTTGGCCCCTGTTTTCAACAGAGACAAAAGAACTGGCCCTATAGAAGAGATTTTAAAAGAACTAGCCCTATAGAAGAGATTTTAAAAAACAGCAAAGGACAAAAATAAAATTGTTTTATAATTACATCTCAGGAGTCATTTTGGTTCAATGTAATGATTCCTTTTATTCAATGCTTAATTCATTAAATCCACATAACTAAAAAGCAAAACTTGGAAGATTGATTTTTGTGGACATTTAGTTATTAACTGTAAAGTTGATTAATTAAATTCCTTTAAACAATTTAAGTGGCACTTAGCATTTCATTGTGACTGATTCTTTTGAATACTTTAAATACCCTAAATAGCAAATAAAACATACGCAAACATAGTGAGTCAACGATTCCATAACTGTTCAATACCTTAGAATCATACTGGTAGCAAAAGTGCTAATACCATGAATGAAACTTTGCTTTAATTCTTTTACATCTTTACAAGGTTCTAATTTTTATACCTTTTTAAGCTTTCTATACCAATGATTACAACCTTTTCAGAGAATTAAATTTTTTTTCCAGATCTAAATGAAAAGCAATGCCAACTTAGAATACCAGAATCCAGGTTGTTGGCTGGTTTATTTATGTTTGTGGTGTGGCACTTGATAGTGTGGTCCAAGGTAAAGCAAACTTACGTCTCTGCAATAGACCAATTGCCTTTTCATATAAAACTTTCACTCACGGGGCGCCTGGGTGGCTCACTTGGTTAAGTGTCCAACTGGGCTCAGGTCATGATCTCAGGGTTGTGGTGGTGGGCATGGAGCCTGCTTAAGATTCTCTCTCTGCCCCTGTATCTGAGAGACTGCTCTCACTCTCTCTCAGAAAAAAACAAAAACCAAAAAACTTCCACTCATTATATCCTGAGATCCATGTATCCCTGTCTTTAACATAAATTTTAATTTTTGAAAACTTATCTTTCCTTTCTCACAGCTGGAAGTCCTTATGCCTATGGCCTTGACATTATGATACATCGACGTGGTTTGTTTCAATTATGAAAATATGTGTATTCCTTATTAGTATTTTATTAAAGTTCATAGGGTTTATTCATAATGAGTAGAGGCTTCATCTCCTAGGAGATGAGGGATTGAATCTCTACACTTTTCTTCTCAGAAGAGTTGGATCATTTATAATTTTGGAACATCCTGTTTTATAATGGTCATTGTGTATGCCATAGCTGTAATCAACTTTAATAACCTTGTGCATCATTATTATACAAGGCCATTAATTCTGATAAGTCCTTTAGCATTTAGTATGTCCCCCTCTTCTGGTCATTTCTATATTAAGAAAAAAGTCTCCCTCATTGTGTGGAAATCCTGTGTCATACTGATTCATTCATATATTTTAATTCCTCTTTGTTACACAAGAGTATATGTGCTACACATATGGAAGCACATGCTAAACAAAGAGAATAAAATGCCATATGTCAATACCCTCCTACTTATTTAAATCAATAAAGATATAAATATCCTATTGGAATAATTCTCTTGTATTAGAAATACCTCTTTGCATGCTTTGTTTTCTCTTTTGAGTATGACTGTGAACATAAGGCTTTTTGCAGGCTTCCCTTGTTCCAATTTAACCATTAGTGTTATTACGCTTATTATTATTTGCTGGCTCTTTTGTCACTGAAGTGCTACCCCTGATGTTTCAAGAGGCAGCTTTGATTTCTGGTTAACAGATTACTATGGATCCATCTCATTTTGTCTTTGTACTAAACTTAGAGGCAACTACCCTCCAGGGAACAGAATTTGTGTGCTAAGGGTGAACATGCGGGCTGGTAATGAATTAGAGTAGTGCTCCTATGTTATGGCATTTATGATAATGATAGAGCTGGAAAATAAGTCTTTTAAGGACATGAATTCACACTGATTTTCCAATGTAACATATCCTGAACCCAACTTCTCTTGTAGACTTGCTTTGATGCTTATGATAAATATGTAGTAAATGGAGAAAATGCATTACTTTCACAGTTGGTACCAGAATTCTTCCTCAGGAGAAATCTACCTCTCGAGAAAAATGTTTTGGTTCTCTAGAGTAAAAGGTAGGCGCTTCTCTCTTCCCAATTTCCACCATCCAGGTCTAAGAAAAAGCTGACCCTAAAGTTTCAGTGAAGCATGTGGCTATTCGAGGGCTGCTCGGAAGAAGGGATCTGAGTACAGCAGACAAAAGAAGAGGAGGAAAGCAAGGCTTGGTGGTGTTACTGCCTCTCACAATGATGCACAAAATCACAAACCACTAAATTCTTGGTATGCGTGTGTGGCAGTGTGTGCAGGGGATGTTCACGAAAACTGAAGTAAGGGCTGGGTGCCATCGCAGTTTGAGGAGCTGTGAGACAGACAGAGTACGCAAGAGTGCAGAAACACAAAGACTTCAAGAGACCTGCAAATGCAAGTTCTCTATAAATTTGCCAAAAATTTGGAAGACCCCTTGAGGCTTCCATAGACTAGAATTAATGAGTTTGACACCAGTTTCATTTAGGTACTGAAAAGTAGGAAAGTCCTCCATCCTTAAAATAGAACACTATTTGCCAGATTTAACAAATAAAAACACAGAACACCCAGTTAAGTGTGAATTTCAGATAAGTTTTTAAAAAAATGTTTTTTAGTGTAAATATGTCCTGTGCAATATTGGGGGCATATTTATGCTATCAGGAAATCTAACAAGAGAGATTGAATCCACCTAATGGAATGAAATGAAAATTGTAAACAGTTTACCAAATGTGATATATATCTCTAAAACTACACATATTACTCAGGGTAATTATATCATCTGTATCCCTTACCATCATAAATACACAAAACCCTTAGTTGTGATAAATAGAAAAAGCTCCAGCTCATTCATTTTTGTGTCTATTTCTGTTTTGGTCATCCTGATTTTTCATTGTCTCTTCATCCTTTGCTTTCCATGGGCCCCATGCCAATATGTAACCACTCATGGTTTTTCTAAACCTACTTGCCAAAATGTTCACAGTATCTGTGTGTGACTGCTGAAGAGTCAAGTAGAAGGTATATAAACTACTTCTTCAGCTCCAATGAACTCTTCTTCAATGCACAAAACATATCTTGATCTCAAACACTCAAAGACACCCATGTAAGTTTTTGTTTGTTTCACCCATGTAAGTTTTATAAAATGATGGTTATGATGTTACCCAAAAATGGTCCTTCTTACATCTCCACACCTCATCTAGCTCCTCAGAGCCTTTTCAGCCTCATCTGCCTTGCAGTGATCCTTTGGGGAAGGTGGGAAGTTCCTTTCGTAGAAATAAAAATGGAATTTGGTAGGAATAAAAAATGTGGGTTGAGGAAATTGTCTGCCTCATCCTGCAGGAATCCTATGGAGCACTGGGAGATACGGAGCCTTACCTGCATTTTCTCAGCATTTTTTCCCCTCTTCCCTGATTTCACACTAGCTGCAGTCACTCTTTCTGCACCCCCAGTGTCCTGCCTTCTCAAGCATTTTTATATCCTGGGACTTTTTGCATGCAGTGATGTAAAGGGAATTCTCAATTTAGTTTTGTCGTATGATGAATCAGAGACACAAAATTAAGAGTCCATGAGGGATACATATTTCAAGTGAAAGATGCATAAAAAAAGATCTTCAGCAAGAAACCAGTGGTTTATGCAAAATCCTTTCCAAATGAAACTGAGAAAAAAATTTGTAAAAGTTACTAAAAACTTTACAAAAGTGATTGTGTAGCAGTGAAATGGATTGGGAAAAGTTAAAAAATGGCACTCTCCAAGTCCTGCAGAGAGAAGAGCTGACTAAACTCTGCCCAGCTGTGATAAAGGACTCACAGTGACCCCAAGCCTTCGCCGGGATAAGATAAGAAAGGGAGACAAGGTTTGCCTGGCTTGCCAAGAAGTGGGAAACACTCTTCAAGCCTCTTTTAACCTGTACAGAAGGGATTGGACTAAATCGGTGATCTGCAAGCTGTGCACCAAACCTACCTGGTGTTTCTGTAACGACACAGAGATGGAGGAGGCAGAGCCGAGCGTCATATTCCTAAACCAGAATAGATCTAATTTTTTTTACATATTGGAATTTGCAGAAAATTTCCATCGACATAAATTAAAGGTTTAGCCTCTGTGTGTTTCCCAGGGTTACCATAGTAAACACAAACGTAATGGCTTAAAACAACAGAACATTATTCTCTCGGTTCTAGAGGTCTGAAGCATGAAGTCAAGGGGTGGGTAGGGCTGTACTCCCTCCAGCAGCTCTTGGGGAGATTCTGTACCTTGCCGCTTTCAGCTTCTGGTGGCTCTTGGCATTTCTTGGCTTGTAGCTTCTCAGGCCAGTCTCTGCCTCAGCCTTCACACAGCCTCCTCTTCTTCGTGCATCTTCTGCCCTTCTCTTCCCTTATAAAAACACTTGTCATAGATTTCGGGGCCACACTAGTCCAGGAGGATCCCATCCGGAGATCTTAAATTAATTTCATCTGCAATGATGGTTTTTCCAAATAAGGTCACATTCACAAGTTCTGAATGGACACGTCTTTCAGGAGGCAGCCATTCAATTCAACGTTGGTTCTTTTTATCTACATTTTTCAAATATGGAATAACACAAGCTTGTTGCAATAAATAAAACATACAAAGACATATAGAGAAAAAGCTAATTATCTGCTTCCCTCCAAAGTCACCTTTCTAGCATTTCTCTCCAACTCATTCATATTTACTGCCCCTTCTCCCAATCAACCTGATAACCTATGTTAATAACCCTGCGCTTGTAGTTCTGGGCTTTATTTCAGTCTCATGTAATTTTATATGTGCAGACACACACTTGCATATACATGTACATCTGCACTGATAGGGAGTCTGGGATTGATTATAAAAATTGTATATTATGCACACTCCTCTGTATCTTATTGTTCTCACTTAAAAATGCCTTGAGTACAACTGGTATAGTTCTAATTTTTAGTATGTTTAATGGATGCATAGTAGCAAAATATTCCACAGTGTGGACAAACCAGTACTTATTTAAAACCTTCCCCTATTTATGGACATTTAGTATATCTCCAACTTTCAGTATTTTTGCCCATCTGAGAAATTCTGTAATACATAATTTTGTATGTAGAATTTTATAAGCTGAGGATTTTTATTACTACAGTTGACCCTTGAACAACACGGGCTGAAACTGCACAGGTCCACTTACATGCAGATTTTTGAGAGCATAGTACTGTAAATGTATTTTCCATATGATTTTAACATTTTCTTCTCTCTAGCTTACTTTATTGTAAGAATATAGTATATGATACATATAACATACAAAATGTATGTTAATCAACTGTTATTGGTAAGGCTTCCAGTCGACAGTAGGCTACTAGTAATATTTTGGAGGAGACAAAGTTATGTGTGAATTTTTTTTTTTTTTTTTTTTTTGAGAGAGAGAGAGAGAGAGCTGAGCGATGGTCCTGAAGCAGGGCTCCATCTCAGGACCCCAAGACCATGATCTGAGCTGAAACCAAGAGTCGGACACCTAACCGACTGAGCCACCCAGGCACCTCAATTTTAAGGTTTTAAAAGTAATTTCATCCTATTCATATTTTACTTAGGATATCCTCTGAAATTTTGTCTAACATGCTTTCAATTTCTCCTGAAATTATAAGCTTTTTTTTCTCCTTTAGTTTGTTAATTAAGCAAATTATAATGAGATTTTGATATTGAACCACCTTTTAGTTTCTGTATAAATTCCAGGTGGCCTAATAAATCTTCTTTTGATACCACGCCAGATTGAAATACCTTTACCAGATTTGGGAATTAAGGTTGTACTGACTTCAAAAGCAATTTGAGGAACTTTTCATCTTTTTCTATTGTGTAAATTGATTAACATGAGAGAAATCTGTTCTTTTGAGATTGTTTAGAACTCAGGAAAATATCTTGTCACAATGTCTCTTTTAAGTGTGATAAAATATGCATATACAACACAAAATTTATAATTTTAACCATTTTTAAGTGTGCAATTCAGTGGCACTAAGTACACTGACAATATTGTGCAACCATCACCACTGTCCATTTCCAGAAATTTGCCATCATCCCAAACAGAAACTCTGAACCCATTAAACAGTAAGCCCACATTCCACCTTTCCTCCAGCTGCGGGTAACTTCTATTCTACTTTCTGTCTCTTTGTCTATCCTAGGTACCTCATGTAAGGGGAATCACACAACATTTATCTTTTACAGCTGGCTTACTTAACTTAGCATGATGTTTTCAAGGTTCATCCACATTGTAGCAAGTGTCAGAACTTATTCCCTTTAGTTGATCCACTGATCTATTGATGACACTTGGGTTGTTTCCATCTTTTGGCTCTTTTGAAGAATGCTGCTATGAACACTGGTGTACAAGTATTTGTTTGAGTCCTTGCTTCCAGTTCTTTGGGGTATAGACCTGGGAGTGGGATTGTTGGATCATGTGGTTTATGTTTAATTAATATATAAAACACCAAGCTGCTTTCCACAGTGCCTGCCTCATTCTACATTTCCACTAGCAAAATATAGGCTTCATAATGCCTCTTTTTTTTATAGGATCACCTTTCTCACTTCTTTGGTCATAAGCGTTCTATTCTAGTTCTGTACTTTGTTATCAATTTTGGTAATGTTGATTTTGCTGAGAAATCAATTTTTGGGGGGAGATTTTCAAGTATGTCTCATTCTCTTTCCCTTTTACTGTACCACTTATCAAAGGGATTTACAGCTAAATATTCTTTTTCCTAGGCTCCATGAGTTTTGATATTCATCCTTTTTTACTGTTCTCAGATAGTCTAATTTCAGTTTTCATGTGGTTTTGATCCATGAGCTAACTAGGAATGCATTCATATTTTCTAAGTAGTTACTATTTGGGCATTAAAGAGAAAAAAGAGGCTCATCATTTCATTATTTCTGATTTTTTAAAATATGGTCCAAGAGAGTAGTCTGTAAATATTATACTTTTTTTAAAGATTTATTTATTTGAGAGAGAGAATGGGGGGAGGGGCAGGCAGACAGGGTGAGAGAGAATCTTAAGCAAGATTTATTTATTTATTTGAGAGCGAGAGAGTGGGGGGGAGGGGCAGGCAGAGAGGGTGAGAGAGAATCTTAAGCAAGATTTATTTATTTATTTGAGAGCGAGAGAGTGGGGGGGAGGGGCAGGCAGAGAGGGTGAGAGAGAATCTTAAGCAGACTCCGCACTGAGCACGCAAAGATCTCACAACCCCGGGGTCATGACCTGAGCCAAAATCAAGAGTCAGGTGCTCAACTGACTGAGCCACCCAGGCGCCCCACAGTTTGCTTTTAAAATATTATCAAGATTTGTTTTGTGGTCAATTACATAATTCATGTTTTAAAAGATTCCACGGACATAGAAAATAATTTATATTCTATATTCAAAGGATATATGTTTCTGAATTTTTTTTTGTTTTGATATCTCTATATAAGACAATGTGTTGACATCATTGTTCAATTCCCCTATATATTATTCTAAAAATGGGTATTAAGGTCTCCCATTAGAAGTGTAGTTTTGTAATTTATCCTTGCGTATCAAATAGATACTGCTTTCTATACTTAGTTATGACGTGATCTTGGGTACTTTTGTTTGGTGTTTCAGAACCTTCATAAATTGTTCATGTAGTCACTTTATTACTACAAAATGACCCTCTGTCTAGCTTAATTCTTTTAACTCTACATGCCTCTTTTTCTACTATTAACATTGCTCCTGCTATTGCCATCCTGCTTTTTTTCTCTTTCTTTTTTTCCATTTTTGCAATTTCCTAGTATCTCTTCACTCATCCCTGTATTAAAATCCTTTCTCCAGTCCTGTGACTTGGTTCTCAGGTGCTCTGCTCCCGCAGAGGGGAGAAGGTTCCCACTAGCACTGTCCATCAGAATTAAACCTTCGCCTGGGGTCTTATTTTGAAACCCCAGGGTAGGCACATCTTTCTTCCTCTAACAGATGATTAACTCTGTTAGATAACAAAGCATGTGACTGAGAATCCTGCCTCCTTTAGGTCACAGTAATTCCAGAATCCTCTCATCCTCCATCGCTTTACTCCTTGGTAATTTTCTTTTTGCTCTCTGCTCTTTAGTGCCCTTACCTAAATGAGGGGGGAGGAATGTCTTTACAGAGAGTTAGGAGACTTGTGTTTTTACATGTCATCCTTGTGCAGGGGCCATGCTAATCTTTTCTGTATCATTCCAATTTTAGTATATGTGCTCCCGAAGTGAGCACAGGAGATTTGTGTTTAATAAAACTGCCAATAGTTGTGTGACCTTAAGCAAGTCAGTAATGTCTCTGGAATTATGTTCTCAGTTGTAAAATGTCCAAATTGACAAGATGACCTCTAGGGTCCTTTCTAGCCCCACAGTTCAGTTTCTACCATTCTAGAGAGGAAAAGTCCAGAAGGGAGGGGGAGGATGGGAAGGTAGCACAGGTGAAGTACCTAATGGCAATTGCAAATTTAAAGGGCTGAGGACAAAGAATCAGGGGTTTTTGGGGGGGTTTTTTTTGGTCTTAATTATATAACAAAATATTATATGCAAAGCTACTATATGGCATCACTAACTTTTAAAATAATGGGTGTGAATTAGGCTATATGTTTTAAAGCTAATTCTATGGTTCATTTAGATATCTGTTAATGTAAACTGAATACCTTAAAATTACATATTGGCCTCCATAATTTTCTAATTCAACCTTTAAGTGATGA